GTGCGTGATACAGAGAGCGCGACCATAACGTAGAGACCGAAATGACATGCCGTCGTGTAAATAAGATAAAAAACATAAGGCTTAGGGATGGGCGATACCACTTATTTTGTTTTCGATACGATACCGATATTTTTCAAGGCAGTATCGTCGATATCGATACCGATTCGATACTTCTGAACTAAACTTTTAAGTTATGAAATGTATTAAATTATTAAATTACTAAGAGTAAAATGTCATTCTTGAGAAGTGGGACAAAACAGGGTGCAAAATTGAAAAAATAAAACCTTGTACTTCGACAAATGAAACTACATTTATGTATCTTATATGTACTAAGCTACTGCGCTATGCTTTGATACAACCTCCCAACTTTTCTCTTTTTTAACAAAATGTGCTTTTTTTTTTTTTTTTACCTTGGACTGTGTAATATAATTTCAGCTTTATCTTTAACAGCATTCAAGATGTTTTTAACATTTCAAAACACATTCTCGTGTTAGCAGACAGATTACACTTTCACATGTGACCAACAATTCCACAACAAATATAAAATATCATAATGAAATATTATCAAAATATTCAACTGACGGAGGTGACAGAACTGACGGAGTTGACACATCTGACGGTGGTGACGAAAACCTGAATTTGTAGTCATTTTAACTATCAAATACATTGAATCAGTCAATTACTGTAACACTACAAACACTACAAACAGTGAGTATGTTATTGTTTATAAAACTTTTATTCACGAGTCACATTTAAGTTATCATTGGAATAATTGGAACACAAAATCTTATGGTGGTGACATCTGACGGTGTTGACAAATTTGGCATTTCTTTCACAAAACCAATGGAGTTCATGTAGTAGCCATTTTATTTTTTTCTGTTGATGCTAGATGCTAATGGAGCCTGCTTCAGGAGAATAAAATTATCTACATATTTCAAATAATTTCCTCAGAAATTGGAAGATGGTGTTGACATATCATGGCTGTGACAAAGGAAATATTAACATTAGGATTTAAAATATTCTAAAACTCTAAAACTTAGCAGAGCCTGTCTGACACTGATGTACTCTGCAGAGGTGAACTGTGGCAAGGGGGTCCTTAGAGTGACAGCTGCCCCTGATATTACCTGATTTTATTACATTTTATTGAATGTCTGACGGTGTTAACAAAAAGTGGGGACGCAACTTTAAAATCTTATGAAACATGAATGTGTAATTAAAAAAACAACCTTGCTTTGATAGGAGATATTATTAGTTGCTTTTGATAAAATAAGCTCTTTTTCATCATTAAAAAAACATTTTTATCCATTTTATTGCATATAAATGATTGAACCCTTCTCTGTGGACACACTGTTTTAGATGTAGTGAGAGGACATTAAGAAACACAGATTTGGTATAATAATGAGAAAATTAAATTGAAGGTGATAATTGTGTTAAATACATTCTATTATTAATCCTTCATCATGACATTTAAAATTGAAAATATTTTTATTTTTTATAATAGCAAGCGTTACCCTTGCTGGACAAAAAACAACCTTGCTTTGATAGGAGATATTATTAAGTGTTGCTTTTGATAAAACAAGCTCTTTTTCATCATAAATTTTTTTTTTTTTATCCATTTTATTGCATATGAATGATTGAACCCTTCTCTGTGGACACACTGTTTTAGATGTAGTGAGAGGACATTAAGAAACACAGATTTGGTATAATAATGAGAAAATTAAATTGAAGGTGATAATTGTGTTAAATACATTCTATTATTAATCCTTCATCATGACATTTAAAATTGAAAATATTTTTATTTTTTAAAGCTAATAGCAGTTACCATTGCTGGACCTGTTTTGTCCCACGTCTCAAGAATAACTGGACTGCATTTGTTTTTGTTTTTTTGTTTTTTTTGACGGACTAATGTTTCCATGTTTTTGGGTGTTATCACATTTTTAAGTATCTTGGAGTAGCAGATAAACACATGGGATGTGAATATGGTGATTCAGTGTTGTGATATATATTAAAACACCAAGGAATTACAATCTGATATCATTATCAGACCATGGAACAACAGCAGCAGTACTTTTTTGTTGTAAGGGGAATCGGTTATCGTACGCGGGATGAGGAAACCCCTGAAAATACTGAAATGCTAATTTTAGAGAGAGCGGGAAAAAATACAGTTTTTGTAGTACCAGGGTAGCCTACATGTTGCTATATATTTTTGTGGATGCACTGCTGATAATGTCAAATCCAGGTCAACACCAAGCCTGTGGCCACCACCGAATACATCACACGTGGATGTTACAAAGCTTTTAACCTGGTTTGTTTTACATTTTTATAAATTCTAGAATGTACATTTTCTTGTAGTGGCGTTGTGGAGAACTAATATTAATGTAAATCTCATTTAGAACACATAAAGAGAAGCAAGTTGCTTGCTGGCGCGTTTTGTTGCACATTGATCATGCACCATTCGCTTAACCAGCTCATTTAAGTTACTGGAGTGCAGTTACCTCGATTCCAAACTGACGGCGCTCATCTGGGGCCATGAACTGTAATATTCTCGAGGTCTTGCCGTTTGTTGACATTATGCATGTGTTTTAGGGCAACAATTTTTTTTGAAGCGGAGAACGTCAATGCGAATGTGCGTGCGCGACACCTGCGCCAACTAGCGGCCGTCATTTTAATGGAAGTCATTTTAATACATTTTAATAATACGTTGTTTAGTGCAGTGTTTCCCAACCGGGGTGCCGTCTGTCGAGAGCAGGGGTGCCGTGTAAAAAATATTTTTTTTATATTTTTAAATTGCTAAAATGTTCAAAAAAAGCATCTATTATATCCATTTCTGATGTCGCCAGTAATTAGAGATGCACCAAAATTTCGGCTGCCGAAAATGAGTTCACCAGTATTGTTTAGTGTATGGAGGACGAAAATAAATACACAAATAAATAAATAAATATGCAAATAAATAAATAAAAGTCTGTATAAATACACAAATTCTTGTTTAAATACATATAAAAATAATTAAACATGTGATTAAAGTAGGCAAATAAATTAAATAAATTGGTGGACAAATGGAAAATGTTTAAGGAAATGCTAAACTCATCCTATTTATTTTCCTTTGATCACTAATTTATTTCTGAATGTAGTTCCACATTTATTTTTCCTCTGCACAACATGCTAATGAGAGGGTGTCAACCATGGACTTGGTCGAGGTCATGTCATAGCTGGGGGCGCGGCTTTCAAGCTGACAGGAAATGCATGGTGTTAATCCAGTATGGCCTACGTAAAGTCACTTTTTCCGTTTAACAGAGCAAGATACATAAAAAACTGAGCTGTATTGTCCGTACAGTATCTGTGACTTTACAAACAACCCAAAGAAATGGCCAGTGTCGTTTCCTGACGTCATTTTTTGTAACCCGATTGAGTCTCCAGCTAGAGACAACTGTAATATCAGTATCCCATGGTCATCGTGAGATGACTGGTATGAAGTGGTTTAATCGAGGAACAGACAGTTTTTTCCCATTAGTTATCAGAACAGAAAATACAGGCGACAAAAGTATGTTTATTAAGCAAATAACGGTTCAGTATTGCAATTAAGAGCTATGTAAGCATTAATATTTTACATTGGCCACTTAAAATCTTTTATGATTTAGCTCTCTCATGATTATAACTACAAAACTAACCCTATGAAAAAGTGTAAGATAATAATCAGTCACCTTGACTGATGAAGTTAATACGCATGCGCAGGCAAACGCTCAAGCCAGTTTATGACACAAGATCCGCCTATTCTTGCATAATTGACACCCTCTCATTAGCATGTTGCGCAGAGGAAAAAAAAAATGTGGAACTACATTCAGAAATAAATGAGTGATCAAAGGAAAATAGTTAGGATGAGTTTAGCATTTCCTTAAACATTTTCCAGTTGTCCACCAATTTATTTAATTTATTTGCCTACTTTAATCACATGTTTAAGTA